TGATATAACAGCACTAATATAAATATGATAATAAAACCCCAATGTATTAATGTGATATTTAGTGTTGTACGTCGTTAGAGGTATGGACATGGGCTCGTGTGTTGAATTAAATGCATATGCTTATTATTCTGTTCTTGTAACAGTTGTTGGAGCAGTGTTAACTCTACTGTGCTATGTTTTATGTACATAACAGCTTCTACAGTTAACATGACGTACGCTAGGTGACGGATAGAGAAGCACGTTTTTTTTTTACACCTCAGCTATTACATTTCTTTGAATTCGCATTTCGCCTATCCGAAATAAGTAAGATGAAAATAAAATAAGTAAGAAAAAATTCCTTGGATCAAATGCTTAAAGTAGGACAGTAACACTTCAACAGAACGTTTTAGGTTTATTCAACGTAAAGTGTCTAACAAGAAAAGACTACAATTTATCGACAGTAAAAGACAGAGAATCTTTATAATAGTTTTCCTCAAATTCTACTTTTAGTTCGAAGAGAAGCAAAAGTTTTGATTTTAAAAAAAGGTAACCGGATTTAAATTACCTATGTTAATTTGTAAAATGTTTGTTTTGTTTTTGAATTTCGCGCAAAGCTACACGCTAGCCGTCCCTAACTTAGTAAGACTAAAGGGAAGGCAGCTAATCATCACCACCCACCGCCAACTCTTGGGGCTACTCTTTTACCAACGAATAGCGGGATTGACCGTAACATTATAACGCCCCCACGGCTGAAACTGCGAGCATGTTTGGTGTATTTGCGAGTCGAGCGCCCTAACCACCTGGCCATGCCGGGCCTTGTAAAATGTAAACCAGTGTGTATATAAATATATATATTGTGGAAAATTTGATTAAACATTCTATTCACAGGAGAACATAACAAATTACTAAAACGAATAATCTAAAAAGTAGCACAGAAAATCTTTATCAGAAGACGAAAGGCAGTTTCGTATCGTCTAGATTCCATTTATAATTAAAACACAGACACTTTTATTTTCTTTTTATCTTATACAAGCTGTTATCTCCAGGAAATAGAAAGAAGGAAGACAATACACTTTATGCATGTACACAAAGAACAGCCTATCTCGTGATTCATCCCGCCGGAAGAAGCACGTGTCTGTCTCGTTCCTAAAATAACCAGGACCAGGCGTCAAAGTCAACAGTTTTAGTATTTTCATCAGAAACTTTAAGCACTAAATAGGTATCTTGGCTCAAACATCAACTTGCGCATAGTTTTGGAAAAGGTAACAGTTCAGTTTATAAACGTTTGTACAATATAAACTTACCTGAAGGGGTGTCAAATATGTCTGTGTATCTGACTGTCTCAATGTTTTTGTTCCCATAGTCTTATTATACAATTTATAAAACAGTCAGCCCGGCAATAGATTTTTTGAGGCCCTAGTGCACAAAATTCTAATGCACTCCTGAAATCTTAGCTCAAGTTTATAGGAAGTATATTGAAGTACAGAATTGATCAAATACAACAATCTATAATACACTAAAAATACGTTTGTTTAACGTTTTCGGTGGGCCTTTTTTATTTTGATGCAGCGAACCTTTGTATACCACCTAGTGGTGGTACTTCGTTTCATTGTTACTTTTCAAATATTTGGAATATTAATTAATAAGGCAGAATAAAAGTAGAAACAACTCGAAGGCTTATCTTTTCTCTTATTTATGTTTAGGATAAAAAAGAAGAGGAGAATTGTGTTTACTTTTAAACATAATTTTATTTATTCAAACTGTCAGTGATTTATAAAAAAAAAATTTTAAATAAAAAAGTATTAAATGCAATTCAGTGAAATGAAAACCTCGCTGTATTTTATAGTTAATTACAATCACATGCTTCAAACTATGGTGTAACAAAAGGCATTGCAAATATCGGCTGCTCCGATAGAAAAACAAATTTGGTAAAGTTTTATGTTTGAACTTTCTGGAGCTTTTTATATTCCAAGAAAACTTCTTATGTCTTTAAGTGGCCATAAACTTCCTTCCTAGGCTAGCGTTATCCTACAACTTTAGGAAGGACAAATACTGGTCATAGCAAAACTTCCTTCCTAGGCTAGCGTTATCCTACAACTTTAGGAAGGACAAATACTGGTCATAGCAAAACTTCCTTCCTAGGCTAGCGTTATCCTACAACTTTAGGAAGGACAAATACTGGTCATAGCAACAAAAGCCCCCCCCCCCAATTAAACTTAAAGTTTCTTCAGCAGCACCTTCTCAGGTCTTAAATTTCAATGTTTTCTCTTTCCTCTCGTGCATGACGTAAATAATCAGTTCACACAATCACACAATAAAATAGCGTTGCTAAATTACTCAAAATGTTTTGTCTCTATTTCTCAAGTTTCTAATAACTGCCAACACTTCAGCCACTGCCTGTTTTGCCGACAGACAATGGAAAGTAGCTGCTTCTATTAGTGCATTTAAACTCACCTACTGGAACGTGTACAAGGCGTATAGGGAAGAAATTTGGTCAACATTTTTCTTGTACTCAACATGGTGACACGATCAACAGAAACAATGTTGTTGATAAGCCGACCTAGATCAGAAACCTGCATTTTCAACTGGAATTGAATCTTTTGTTAAAAAAAACCAACAGCGGACTTACAACGCTAGAAACCGGGTTTCGATACCTCTGGTGGGCAGATCCCAGACAGCCCATTGTGTACCTTTGTGCTTAACTTCAAACAAACAAACATATGGGTTTTATTAGTTAAAATGATATTTTACTGAATGTTTTTTCTCCAATGGTTCACGTTTCCTTATATATTAAGGATTAGACTATGTTAGTTTAATTAAAAAAACACATAGAGTTGTTTCATATTCGATCCAATAGGGACGTGGCCAAGTAGTTAACCTTTTCCAGACTGTAGGTTCGAGGATTAGTGATTCGCATCTCGATACCGCAAAACCTCATTCAGCACTTTGGAGCCGAGGATGCCCAATAAAAGTAACGGTCAAAACCCACTATTAGGCTAGACAAGGATAGCCCGAGGATTCGCAATGAATATTGTTGACTAGCTGTCACCCCTCTTGTCTGTCAGTTCCAAATTATAAGCTATGCAGAGATAGCTCCTTTTGTATCCTTTGCACAAAAATCCTAAAACAAACAAACGAGCAATCAAACCAACATATATTCCAAATCAATAATGATAAAAAATGGATAATATCCCAGTCATTAGATTGCATGTTGATAAGAAAAAGCCTCTTAATCAAACTGTAATTTAAAGTGTTGAATGCAAAGTCTCAGAACCAGGCCTTAAGTTAAGAATGTGTTTTGATTTATTGTCTCCTCTGGCAACGCTTTTAAGCAGAGGTTTACATAATTTTTATCTGTTTCTATCTTTTGGAACTATCTGTAAATCCCCAAGATGTTATAAAAAATACTCTGGCAAATAACTGGTAGAGTTTTATTTGTAGTAGTTTTGTTCGAAACAATTGTACTACAAAATTATAGCACTTAAATATATATATATATTTTGGATTAGCATTTCAATATAATTCACAATTCTTTGAAGATAAAAAACAAAACAAAAACGAAATGCTGATTGATACACACCTGATAAATGTTTAGTAAGCAAGTAACCTTTTCATCTATAGGACTATACAGTACTCTGGGAACCAATCCTAATATATAATCCTTTCCCCCTAAAAACAATTTGAAGTTTGACATCAGAGTTTATTTTCATTATTTGTTTCATAATTTCGTCGCAAAGGACTAACTGCATACGGCCAACCTTAATTTTGAACTGATAGTACCCACCTGCCAAGTCTTGTGCTACTCTTAACTGACTAAATAGTGAAATTTGGCCATCATGAAGTGCGTTTTGGGGGAACCAAAATACTCAGATTTACAGTCCGGGCACTCTAATCACTAGTCCAAGCTGAGTCCCAAGAATATTTGACCTAAAAGTCTAACATGGTTTTATAAACACATTAAACATAAACAGCGGGTCTTTCTCTCTTACTCTTTTGAGCCTGTATGAAACATTTAACATGATGTAAACAAATGTTTTGGGGAAATAATGACTAACTACGACCATTTTCTCCTACAGTCGTCGTCTATTTTTTTGGCTACATTATCAGAGAATAAAGAAATGGTTGTAGTCTTTACGAACCGTAGAAGAAATTATTAGACCAGATGAAAGTCGAGCTAAATACTTTTTTAACACTCCAATCATAATACAGTTCACAAAAGTTTCAGGACAAATATCATCAAACTATTTCAACATTACATCTATAAAACTTCTAAAAACAAGCGCGTTCAGAAAATTTTTTTATCAAAGACATTTCCGTAAAAAAATTATAACAAGTAATTCCTGCTTTGAGATTGCTTTATCGAGATGATACTCGTTAAGTTCAGTTTGCTAAGCCTTATTATCTTCAAAGACACTAAACGAAATATCACACTTTGCACACAATGTTATTCTTTGTGTCTTAGAGATAACTCGAAATATATGTCAGACCTTTCATGACTATTCACTTTAAGTAACCAAAGCTAAATATAAATTAACTATATCATTCAAATATTCAACCTCATGGTTGTCCTCAAAGAAACCATAAAACATTGTCAGCGAGAGTAGTCTTAACACTTTCTAGGATTAAGCTCCACCTTTAAAACTTTCCGATCTCTGAAATTTCACCCCTTCCCGGCCCTAGTAATTAAAAATACAATTTATTCACAAGCATTTTTTTTCTACTTTTATAGACTCATTTTATACGAAAATTTACATATCAAATTTTCAATCAATCTAATTGATTTTTATGCGTCTTGGATCTGTGACACTTTTTCTTAGCCAAAGTTAAACATTTTATATTTCTTCTGGTGTATTTTTTTAAAACGTAATACTTACAAATTGTATATGCATATCTTAAAAACGTAAGTTCTAAAACATGGATGGAAATTATAAAAAGTATTGTATAAAATAACTATTTTAGAATAGCTTTTTTAAAAAAATATATAGCGCCCTCTATATTTTAGTAGCAATATGGATGTTAAAATTAACGGTTGTAGAAACATTAATCTCCACAGAATTTTATACTAATTAATTAGTAACTTTTAATACTATAATAATATTTTAAAGCTATTAGGTAAAATTGAATTTAGATTTTCCAATTTCAAAGAATTTGGAAAATGTGATAAGACTATGAGTTAGCATTTTGTAAAACCAAAACTAGCAATATATACAGTTACTGCTATTAACAGTTCAATAATTAAGTATTATTACTTATTATTTATACAAAGATTACATATTTTATTTCAACAGGAACTATGAATGACGTTACTACTAAATTATAAATACTACTAAAGTGATAAAAAATTTACCGTTAAATGATAATAGTTTAGAATAAGGCACTTGGAAAAAGTGTAGTTCAATTTACTCTCAACGGAGCTTTCTTTGCTTATTAAAGTTATTGATATAACTTGTTCCTGGCCTTCCCATGTTTTATATTTTTAAATTTGTTAAAAAATCTCTGTAATGCAACATAGAAACCATTTCAGCGATATTAAAATTAAATTTCTATTCTATCTAGAAGTTTTTACAGCAAATCCTGAAATAATGTGTAATGATTAATATTACTCTATGTTTGATGCTTTACTAACTAATAAGAATTAGATATAAGAAATTAAGTACATGTTGAAGGTAAAGCTGTATTCTTATTACACGCCAGCACTGAGAAATAACGTTAAATACTTACTGAAATGTAAGTGTAGTAGTAGTACTAGTAAGAAGTGGGATAGGACACAATACTTTACTGGTTGGCTTGAAAAGGCTGCCCTTTATGTCCATGTGAGTATTTTTGAGTATGTTACTGATGTGGAGTTTTTAAAGATATGTGCAGAGATAAAATAATTATTCAAAAGCTAATTATTGAAGTAGATGTAAATTTATTTAATTATCAGACAAAGTAGAGAAATTTATTAAAATGAAAAATTGTGAATATATTAATGGTGTATGTGTTATGGTAAAGTACATTGAAAACTATTTAATTTTTGGCTTGCCATGTTGACCTGTTATGACATGATTGTTGGATTTATTCTGAAAGAACTGTATCATAAGGAGTTAAAATATGTAGAATAAAATCTAGGAATGTACGTATAATGGTAAGATATAAATTGGAACTTTATATAAATGTTACATTATGCCATAACTTACCAATATTTCAAAATAGTGTTCTTGAAGCATCTCAGGAAACTAATAAAATAGACAAAGAGAGAAAATTTATAGCTTATAAATAAAAACTGGAGATATATTTTTTACCATACTTTTATTAAGTAGTATCTAAACTTACCAGATGACATATTAAAGGACCTTGACTTTCAAAAGTTTTTTTTTAAGATAATATAATTTAACATTATAAGAAATTATAGCCTTATATTGCTACCAATATCAATAGTATTAAGTAATTAATAAAGTACACTTGAAAACTGATACCAAAGAAATACCACAAGTTGGGTTAATTCACCCAGGAAACTTTTAAATAGAGGTTGAGCCTTTGCCATAACATTCTAATTCAAGAATTAAGATCTTAGTTTTATTTAGATAACCTTGTATGAAAATGAAAAGAAGCAACAACCATAGAGGTTCGTTCTCTGTGCTGGAAAAATTCGTTATTTGTAAAGTTACTTAGAAATTTAATTTTTATCTATTACAGCTATTTCTATGTTTTAATGTGATATTAAAAGAGTTACTGTTGTGTGTAAAAACAGTGACAGAATGTATAGACGATTATCATTGGAATTGTACCAATGTTTTTTCATTTCTTTTAGTGGCCGTATTGTGAAAAACGATGCTCTTACTGCAATTTTAACAAGTACATCAGGTTTGTTTTCTATGCAATTTTAAAACTTTCATCTGTTTCACATGATAAAGCTTCAAAGTTTAAGGTAGATTAAGATATTACTGTAACGCTCGTATAGAAACAAATGACATATTGTGATTTTGACTTGGTTTGAGAATCGTAAAATAAACTGTTATCTCATTAAAATCATTTTTTTACATGGAAGTTACCAAAAATTATCTTTCCAATAACTTATTGTTATATAAAATATTTTGTATTTTTGTTAAATTATTTTTATAAAGCAAGTGTCATATAGATATTGATAACAACGAATGCATATTGTGAGAATTTCTCCTGCCATTTGACCACTTCGTCTTCCCGTTCCTTTAGTATTGACATCTTTAAATATACATGATTTCATCTCCTGATTGAGTACTTCATTTTCTTGTACCTTTGTATTTCAATATTTGCTTCCTTTAATTTACAGTAACCACGTGAATCATGCTCGCATGTGTGAATGTTTAGTCAAGGAGGCTACAACTCTTCTGAGACTCAGTGGTATAAAGACTGTTGAAACAATATTCTTTGGAGGAGGTAAACACCCCAAACTGTATGTTACATAAACTAGAAAGTTAACATATGTGTTAGGAGAAATGGTATTGTATATGTTTATATATTCATGCATTTTTGTGATTAGTAAACACATTTTGTATGCTATTTTCAACATTAAACGGGTATTGTTCAAAATGCGGTGTGGTAGAGATGTACTGAGATAACTGTATAGTTATTTACATAAGTACAGGTAACGTGCAGTTTAATACCAGTAAAACTAAACCCAGATTTGTATTATATAAGTACAGGTAACGTGCAGTTTAATACCAGTAAAACTAAACCCAGATTTGTATTATATAAGTACAGGTAACGTGCAGTTTAATACCAATAAAACTAAACCCAGATTTGTATTATATAAGTACAGGTAACGTGCAGT